AGCCAGAATTAAACTAGGTCTGTGGGACTCCAGGCCAAACCTCTTTGACCCCTGCCTTTTACTGCCTCCTTGAACCACTTGTTCCTTTCGGGGAGCTGGGGTGATGTCTCCACCCCTTGCAGTGAATCAAGGACTGGGTTTCTAGTCTGTATTTCATATGGACAAGATTTTGGAATGTTTTTGAGGATGGGGAGAAGCAGGTAATTGTCTATGGCTGGGGAAACATATTTATCACTATTAAAAAATCGACGAAACCCCTAGTTTTGCCAAACTCAGGATTGCCATTTTGGCCTCTGGGAAGGAGATGTTGGCGATGGAGGCAGAGGGTGCAGTCGTCTCCAGAAGCCCTGCGGACGCCTTGATTTTGAACCAGTGAGTCTCATGTGGTCTTCTGAGCTCCAAAAACTATGAGACAATAAATTCAGGCTGGGCGCAGTGGCTTTCGCCTGGAATCCTAGCACTTTGGGAGGCCAAGGTGAGAGAACTGCTTGAGTTTCAGAGTTCAAGACCAGCCTGGGCAACAGAGTGAGACCCTGTTTCTACAATTAAAAAAAAAAATTAGCTGAGCGTGGTGGTGTGTACCTCTAGTCCCAGTGACTCAGGAGGCTGAGGCGGGAGGAACACTTGAGCCCAGGAGGTCAAGGCTGTGGTGGGCCATGATAGTGACACTACACTCCAGTTGGGTGATAGAGCAAGACCCTGTCTTCAAAATAAATAAATAAATAAAATAATAATGATCACAAATTTGTATTGTTTTAAGCCACTAAATGTGTGCAAGTATGTGAAAGGAGGAAATTAACACAGCCTCCAAGGCAACTTTCCAGAAGGAAAGCATTTCTCTCCTGCACTCTGTAGGCTTTGGTTTCTCTCTCGTACCATGCCTCTCAACCTTGCCATTCCCTCACTCCCAGTGGATGTCTCGGGGACCCGTCCATCTCTCTCCATGCCACTCTTTCCCAGGCCCTGCAGTGTTTCACTGCCAGTATAGCTTCATCTGTCAGGATTAGGACTCCTGGCCGGCCGACTCAGAGGCGGGTCAGGCTGCATTAATCCCCAATTAAAACGTTAATCAAAATGGATCCAACCATTAGCCTGGCCTGGGTCCTGGCATGTTAGATTTCTGAGAGCTGCTGTGCCCTGGTGGAGAATCTGTCTTTCTTAGCCACCTGCCGTCTGTTCTCGCCATAGTCCCACCACCCTGGGCCTTGGCCAAGCCTCCTGAAAGCTGGGGCCCAAGTTCCTAGGGAGATTATGCGCTGGGAGCTGGGCTCTTCCCTCCATCCCTCACTTGCCCCCAAATGAGAAAAAGTGCCAGTGTCCCTCCCCGCTATAAAAAAGACAGGCTGCCTCCGGAGCCTCCCTGCTGTGCTTCAGGCAAGCAAAATAGCACCAAATGCACGTTTACGTTTGCCTTCTTCCATGGGGAGGTGTTTGGGGACTGGAGCCAGAAGATCCTTTTCTCTTTGCCTCCTTGTAGCTCAAAATTAAGCAGAGAAGCAGGCTTGGGGGAGCAGTGCGGACCTCGGGACGGCAGGAAGGGAGACACCTGCTTACCGGAGTCCTCTGGAGGGAGAGCATGATTGGACCTTCCTGGGGAGGTGTGGGTGTGAGACTGAAGACTCACCTCAGGGCAAGGGACAGTCTTAGGCACAATTCAGATCCTATTTGTAGCAAAGTCACTTCATTTCTGATTTTGTTAATCAAATACAGTCTGCTGGATGACAAAAATGGTCCACAGCAATGGAGTGCTTCAGCTAGATTCTTCGCCTCTCCCTTTTTATTAATTCTACTTAAAGGGGCTTTACCAGCTGCCATTTTTCACCCAAGGGCTCCATTTCTGGGCTTAATGCACCAACCAAGAGTAGATTCCTGTACTCCTAGACCTCTAGCAACAGGCAATGTTGACTCTTCATCAACATTGGAAAGCAGGGTGGAGAAAGGACAGCTGAGCCAAGGTACCTACTGAGGCTCCAGGAGGTGAGCTCCTTGGAGCTGGTTTGAGTCACTTAGCCCTGTATCCAGCACACATCTCTTTGTTCTTCTGTTTCCTGAGGCATCTCCCTTCCCTCTTGCCAGAGCCCAGCTGTGCGTCTGGTGCAGAGAATTCAAAGTGGTGCTCAGATCTGCACCAACCAGGCTCCAGGACAAGCTTCGAGAAAGTCTTTGGGGATGGGGAGAAGCAAGTAACCTCTGCCTCCACTGTCACATCTCCCTCCCGGAGGCCAAAAAGGCAACCCAGAGTTTGGCAAAACTAGGGGTTTTGTTGATTGTTTTACTCCCACGGCTTGAGAACCCAGGCTATAGGCTGTGAGCCTGGGCTCTCAGGTCTCAGGAGAAGAACCTAGATTGCCTCGTTTCCAGTGCGCTTGCAGTTCCCTGCAGGTTAGGAGTGTCCCACGACAGACATCTTTCCACTGGAACGGGCTGGCTTCGAGAATGACTGAGGAGGGTGATCCCCAGGGGCCAACGCTTGCCTGTTTTTCAAACACACCTTCCCTCCCTCCCCTCCTAGCAGGTGACTGCAGAGCTCCAAAAGCTGGAGGAGGCACAAGTAGAGCTCAGGTCTGGCAGAGCCTGAAAAATCCCCCAAAGAAGGACAGCATGCCCTAGCCACAGTGCCCACCGCATGGCCCCAGTCAGCAGTGCCAAACTTTTCTTGGAGATGTGCTGCTGGTGAGGCTCTCCATAGGGACTCTGCCATCATGGGTATGGGGGTAGCAAATACACACTGATGAATAAACCTCTGCTCAGATTCATAGGGCAGGAGCTTCCCCCAACCCACAATGAATCAGACCAGTTCCTGCTCCCTCCTCTCACTTCCCCCTGTACTTATCTCAGGGAGTCAGCCAAGGGGGTGGGGGCGTATGTGTCTGTCTTCCTCTTCTATGTGTCTGTCATTTACCTGGGTAACTTTGGTGCCTGACACCCTTTAAGGACTTAATAACAGCAAGTGCTTAAGAAAATGCCTGCTGAATGCACAACTTAACTCATAAACCCCATTGGTGGGCACCTGCATTCCTCAGTAATGTTGGATCAGTGTTTCTCAACTCCTCCCCACCCTACCCCATCACCCGCCCCTAAGGAGCTTTGAAAAGATCTTTTCTTCCTATTCTAGAACCAATTCCAGCTTCCACGCCTCCCACCTTGAGAATGAATGCATTAGATGAACCAAGACTTCTGCCTATACACATGGGCTGCTACAGTTGGCCGCCCCAGCAGTCTGCGACCTCCCAAGGGGGGGCCTGGGTCTTAATCCTTACTTCTCTCTAAGCTGCTTGAAGGGTGCCCCCATTCTATCCTGCCCCCATCCCATCCCTCTTCACTTCTCCCCAGAATAGCACCTCCATAAATGTTTGTGAACTGAATGAATGATTGTTGAGCGCCTGGCATGATGAGCTGCTCATAATAGGTGCTCAACCGATCTTTGTCCAATCTATGAATGAATGAATGAACTTCACCCTTTTCCTTCCATACCTCCGGGCTGAACCTCTCTCCCATATGGAAACCCTAAGGCTGAGACCACCACCTTCCTACCAGTTACTGGGGTGCCTAGTGAACTGTCTCAGTATCCCCAGCGCCTAGCACACAGTAGGCGCCCAATAAATGCTTGTTATGTTCATAGTTAATGACTGACTCAATTAGGCCCATGGTGGGGGTGGAGGGGGGTTCCATACCGTGCCTAAGGATATAGTGAATGAGCAAGTGACAGACACCCCCCCCACCCCAATCCCTAACTCTCCCTCCTCCCGGGATCCGGGGAGAAATCTCGGTCCAGAGCCGGGATGCGCCCCCGCCGGGGTCACCACGGCGGCGAACGTCCCGGACTT